CGCCTCAAAAGCCTCCCCTGCTGCTGGGGGGCGACTGCACATGCTGGACTTCTTCAACGGCCTGCTCACTGACGATCAAGGTACTATATGTGTGAATGGCATTAAGCAGTTGGGGGAGCTGCGGGAGGGTGAACACGGGAGAGGGTGATGGAGATAGAGTGGGCAGGGGGCGATGGTGATCTGTTTGTGTACCATGCTATACTCGTAGCTTCTGTGCTTCTTTCCGTGTCGTGCCTGAGTGTGTATTGCATGCCTTACCCAGCGACTAAATGTTCTTGTGCTAAACCCTGTGCTCGCCCGCTCACCGTGCAGAGTCGCTGCGGCGTGAGTTTGAGTTTGATGGGACGCACATGAGTCCTCTCTATGTGCCTCTCCTGGACAAGGAGCTCTCACGCATCGATGCAGAGTGACATTAGTCCAACCGGAATCACTCATGCACGGAGAGTTTCATTGAGCACGGTACAAAACAGGGTCCGTTCAATCCACCATAGGTGTGGAGAAGTGGTGTAGGCAGGGAATTGGGATGGTTCACATAGGCTGATATCAGATCAGGGAAACGTGCTAGTCACTTCACTTGAAGCAATGACAGGACAGTTATTGCTGGTTGGCGATTGTGTGTATGATGCTATTTAGGCTCATTTTTCATTGGATTTAGTTTAGCGTACAATTCAACAACGCACCCAGAGTTCCCCTGTTGTGCTACTACCGTAATGTTGTGTACCAGTTGACAAGAATTCCGAATCATCGCATATAGAGTCTCAAATTTCCCTTGCACAAAGGTGTTCAAGTTGGTTCGGGCTGTTGCGCCTGTGTCAGCCGTTCGGCCCCCACACATACCACCACACGTACGTCGCGCAGCAGCAGTGTCTCGCGAAGCAGCAATCAGCCGTGCGCCATGGATGGAGGCGAGGAGCACGAGAGCGGGGCTGGCGCGTTCATGCCGTACATTAATAAGCGCAAGCGGAAAAACGCCGGCATCACCGTGTCCTTCGACGAAAACGCCAGGAGGTGCGCTCTCGCCCGCTCTTCCCCAATCGCCCGCGCTCTCCGTGGCACCATGCGCCCTCGCGCTTGCGTCGCCATACCCTCAAACCCCCTTTCCCCATTATTCCCATGTTCGGAACTTCCGTCTGCACGTGTAGACCCTCTGAGCAAAACCCTCGGCCCTGTGCCCTGAACCCCCCGCTCGGCGCGCAGGGAGTTCGTGTCGGGGTTTCACAAGCGCAAGGTGGAGCGGCGGCGAGTGGCGGAGGAGAAGCAGAAGCGGAAGAAGCGGCAGAAGCAGCCACCTGCAGGAGCGCGCCGAGGTGAGCGCAATGCGCACTGCCACCTGCCCTGCTGCGCACTGCCCTCGCCTCCCTCGTCCGGGCTGCCTACGCGCCTGCACTTGTTTCTTGCTCTGCGCCTCACCTCGCCACTCCGGTTCAACCCCGCTGCCTTCTCGCCATTGCCGAGTCCTCTCTCGCACCCCGAGTCTGCTCTCCCTCCCCACCTTCTCCCCAGCACCGCCTCAACCCCTCATACTCGTGCTTCCCGCTCTGCCTGGTCCTCCCTAATGTTCTCCCCGCGCTCCTTCCAACCCCGCCCATGTCTCCCGCCGCTCCCCCTCTCCTCACATTCAACCAACACCACCCCCCCCCACCCACCCCACCGCACACCAACCCCGCTTACTTGCCCCGCAGCGACGACTGGCGGCAAAGGTGGCACGGGGGGAGGTGGTGGCAGAGGAGGGGGAAGGGGGTGGAGCAGCAGATGGTGGGGACGAGGAGGAGGAGGAGGAAGAGGAGGAGGAGGAGAAGGAGGGGGGGGGTGGAGAGGAGGGTAGGGAAGGGGAGGAGGTGGATGGGAAGGAGGAAGCGGGGTTTGAGCGGCAGAATGAGCGGCTGCTGTCTCTCGGTCGCACTCCGGCTGCTGCCCCTGTTGGTATGCCATGCATGCCATGCCCTTCCCACTGAGCGTTTCCTCCTCCTTCCCTTTGACTGCATCGTTTTTTCACTCCGTGACCGCCCTCCTGCACCTGCCCGATCTCCTTCTGCTTCCCAAGGTGCATTGTGCTGCCACATGAGTGGTTGCCTTTCATCCCATGTGCTGCTGCGCAATGGTTGGTTCGCTCCTTTCCCATCCTGTCATGCCTGTGCATGCGCTGCGTTGCGTTGTGCACCTCTCTCCCTCCCCTGTCGCCTGTCCCACAGTGCTTCACTACGACAGTGGCAGCCTGGAGACCTTCGTTACTGTCACCACCGACTTTGGAACACATGAAGACGAGGGGAGGGCCGCCAGTGAGGAGGAGGAAGAGGGGGAGGAGGAGGGCGGTGCTGTGAGGAATGGTTTAGGGAGAGTGGGAGGGGTGAAAGCACATGGGCATAGTGAAGGGGGTGGAGGAAAGAAGGGTGGTGGGGAGAGAAAAAGCACTGCATTGCAGATAGCCAAGGGTAGCTGCAGGAAAAAAGGGAAGAGTGGAGGGAGGCAGCAGATACGCAGGAGGAAGAAGTCGGGAGAAAAGGGGAAGGACCTGAAAAGGAAAAAGCGGCATGGAAAATAGGGGAGGATGTGGTCATTGTTTTCTGCATTCACCCATTGTTTCTTTACAGATCCTCCTAGTGATACCTATCAGCAGAATGCTGGGCAGTGGCACACCAGTGACTTGCACTCTGCGCAAGCAAGGCAGAAGAATGCACAACATCAATCACCCAATTCTTCTGGAGACATTCATCAATTACGGTACAACGAACTGTTTCACATTCCACATGATGTATGCAAGCACCTGCATCTTGCCATGCCATGCCATGCCCTCATCCACACACCACCCCTCTATTGCCGACTTCGTCCACTGTTGGCTTGGCCTAAGGGCGTGTTCCTTCCTACAGTATGCTCTTATGAGGGAAACCTCTTGTCATCAGCCTTGCCTGGTAGAAGTAGCAAGGGTTTTTGGGTTTCGGGAATTTTCAGTGTGTTTTGACGCGAGCTTGACAAGAGGTTGGCCTGATAGGAACATGCCCTAATATCGTAAGTACATGATTTATTATAGAATAATTATATACATTATAAAGATGCCCTAGTGTAGCTCACACCTGTAGTGGTGCAGGGCAAGGGGAGGAAGTGGAGGTCAGCTCTTTGCTTCTTTGCACTTCCAGCCCTAATCTTGTGTTTACCTGTCAGTTGCCCCCGTCACAGCACACCATGGATGCGTGCCAATTACCCACACAACACAATGTTGTGCCTGGTGTGGGATGGCCGCGCATGGCATGACATGGTATGCTATGTAGCAGGCAGGCGGGCAGATAACAGTTCATCGCACCATCAGCACCCCCTTCCAGGGCCCAATGCTGCCGACGGGTAGGATGTCGTAAGGCATGCATGCAGTAGAGTAGAACGGATGGTGGTGGGCAGAAGAGGAGGCCCACATGGTGATGTGAAAGGGGGGAGGTGTAGCGGCACAGCAGAGGAGTAAGAGGGCCAAGGGACAAGTAGTTGGGTAGCAGCCGCTCCAATCAGGACAGATGTGAGTCATGCCACCACCAGTGCACCCCACGCTGCGCCCTTCCGCCCACCACACCTCATCGCACCCCCTTGGACCACTGCCGTCTCCACCCCACCCGAGCCTTCCAGCGGCTCTTTGCCTCCTCCGTCCACCTCCCTCTCGCCCCCGGCCTTTTCAAGCGCCGTCTGCCGCTCCCTCGCGCTGCTGTCGCCGCCTGCCCTCTTCCCCCGGCCGGCCCTCTCAAGCCCCTCGTCCACGAGAAAGTAGGCCGGCAGGTGCGTTCCCCCCATGGGAGTCCGCGGCAGTGCAGGGGGGTCAGCGGCGGGCGCGGGGGCGGAGAGGGGCGCGGAGGAAGGTGGAGATCGCGAGCAGCAGCAGCAGGTGCAGGTGCGCGCGAGGGACATCTGACGGCACGCGAGCAGCCAGAGCGAGGGGCAGAGGTCGGGGGGTTGCGAGGCGGAGGCCATCCAGTGCGCGGCGTCGCTGACTCGGAGCGCGTGGTTGGGTAGCGTGTCGTGCACTCCTCCTATCGACGTGTACCTGCACGTCAGCGCGCACGGGGGCGAGGAGACATAGCGGTGAAACAATGCTGAATTGCTGGGTGCAGTTAAACTTAGAAAACACGCAGACGGAGGCCGACAGAGGCAGAAAGAAGTTGACGGAAGCAGATCTGACGAGCAGAGCACACGAGGGAGCGAGGCAGCAGACATGCGGCATACCCCTGGTCGTAGAGGCAGCAGTAGGGCACGCGCGTGAGCAGCAGGAACTCCCAGACGTCGCGGTAGGTCCAGTGGAGAATCACGTTCACGCGCATGAACTCGGGCCACCCGGGCGAGCTCGCCGAAAACACCTCCTGCCCCTTCTGCGGTAACAGGATGCCATTCCGGACCACCATGGGGCAGGGAAAGGGAGAGGCAGAGATACTTAGTGCTTCGTACCGATGACGGACAGTTTTGGCGGTAAGTCACTCCGGCTAGATTTGTTTTCAGACTCAAGAAGACCGGCGGGCGGGCGGAATTGGCAGGAACTCACCCCATTGGGGTCGATGCTTCGCACGCCCAGGAAGATAGCTTTGACGGGCCGCTGCTGCTGCAGCGCGCCGAGCCCCTCCTTGAAGGAATCGCCCGTCTCCACCAGGTCCAGCTTGTACCTGCCCACGCGTCGCCGCGGCGCGCGGGAGAAAACGGGACGGCGCAAGAAACAGGACGATACGGGATGATGGCACAGATTAGAGACATAAACAGAAACCACGACCAACAAGTGCCGCAATGCGATGCTGGCGAAAGGGCGCGACGAGAGCGGGGTTGAGGGAGAGGGCGAGAGCGTGGGGCACGCACTTTTGCGCCATGTGGAGAGTGAAGGAGTCGATCTCGGGAAAGGCGTCGCGGTCGCGGAAGTAGATGGCGCACAGCCCGTCGGCGCCGCGCACGGGCGGCTGGCGCGGCGAGATGCCGTACGACGCGACCTTGGACAGTCTCTTGCTCAGTGGGAGGTGCGAGGCGGCGTGCTGCAGCTGCAGGCCCGGAGAGGAGGAGGAGCGCGGAAGGACCTGCGACTTCTGTGCTAGTGCGGCGCGCAGGAGATGCAAGATGACCTGCCCAAGGGGGGAAACACCGCGACCCGCCCGACAAATTGCAAAGGATTGACCAATTGAGGAACTGATTGGTGGAATGGACGAGGAGGGTCGAAATCCATCGGAGAGCAATTGGTTTGGAAACAGCGCGACTCACTGTGGAATCCTTTCCTCCGTTGAAACTGAACGCGACCTCTTGGAGCCTACACGCAGGAAAAGAAAGAAATTAGGCATTTCAATCACGCGAGGAGTAGTATCCAAGCCACGAGGAACAAGAGAATTGGCTAGAAGCATCAGGTTGCGCTTACTGGTACGTGGCGAGAGTCTGATGAATGATCGACATGGACTGGTCGACTCTCCGGCAAAGCTCCTGGCTACCGCCATTCTGGACAGCCATGAGGACCTCCATGCTGGGGAAAGGGCATGCAGAGGAATTGCGCTTGGATCGGAAGCGAGCGGGCGGCGAGGCGAGCAAGGGAGAAAGAAGGCGAAAGAATAGAGTTGGGCGAATGTATAGACGACGCTATTGCTAGTCGAAGGGATCGTGAGTCCGAGTCGAGTCGAGTTGAGTCTGGTGGGTGTGCGGATCAAATGATCATGGTCAATGCTGCGCTGGCTAGAAAGAAGCTCCTACAATCTGAGAGCCACGCTGAGGACGCAAGGCCAGGAGGGGCCGAAGTGCAGGCACGATGTTGGGCGGGACAAGTGTAGCAAAAGGGAATCAATGCGCGCTTCGACTCAACGAAGCGCATGTTTACAATCGGCGCGAGTGCATCTGCCCAATGATGTGGGATCGAATGGCCAGCGAACTGGAGCACAGCCAGTCACGCGCGTCTCCTGAGAGTGCTGGGAGAGGACATGCAAATCTGTCACTACAAGCGGCGAAAATCGTTGCCGCGCAAGCAGGGACTTTTGTGACACCCACCACCATCGAGAAGGTGAAGCCAGCTAGGCCAAGAGTGATCCTGATTGTATAACAAGTTTCAAGAGTCTGGGCAGAAAATAAACAGTTGGACTTCTTGCTAGAAGTGAGAAAATTGTGAAGCTTTTTCGGTACATATCGTTTATGGCCTTTTTTTCTTGGCAAACAAATCGTTGAAAGAAACTGCTTCACAAACCGTGTGTAAACCTGTCTCCGTAATTTGAGGAGTCTGCTGGTTCCATATCCATCCATGAATTTTGCTCATGTGGAGCCAGTCGGAGCTGTCCCCGACCTGCTTCACCTCTACTGTCTGCTGTCGTTCCAGCACAGCATGCTAAACCCCGAGGGGAGAAGTAACGAGGCGTGAAGGAGAGGACTTTATCTCCATCCGCGAAACGGTGACGCGGTATTACATATTAAGTCGTGCAGACATGGAATATTATATTGAGAAATAAAATTACAGAATTACACAGCCACGCTTGCACACTGGCTCGGACACAGTTTATCTCTTCACACGCACAACCTGAATCTGCACATTCATTGGCTGCCATGCTCATGTCAGAACACTGACACCACGAACCTAACGTCTGGTTTCGCTTGACACCAACTTGCACATGCCTGACAGGTAGGTTTCCCGCTTCACGTGAATTTTCGCATTTTGATCGAGGTCATTCTTTCTTCTGGAGACGGTAGAGTTCCAGGTGTAGCAGATCGGACGGTGCAGACATTTTGATTGGGCAAGTTGTTGCAGCTGAACGGTTCACACCAAGCCACCATTTGCCACACAGCAGCAACCCTCCATCGCCTTGGAATTCCCGCCCGTCTCCAGGTTCCCGCGCTTTCTTTCTCTCCCATGCTCTGGGTTCTGGTTGGCTTGGGTGTGTGTGCCCTTGGAGGCCCGGGCCGAACAGCAACCCCATGGCTCTCGTCTTCGGCAGCACCACGTGCCAGATCATCTGGGTGCTGTGACGAAGCTAACCGACACGAGTGCGAACTTCCGCAAGCGTGTTTTCGTAATCCAGACGCGGTAAAACAGGCTCGGGAGGAGTGTAGACACTAAAGGGGTCGTGTACGCTGATATGGGTTTTAATGTGTTACAAAACGGTGACCGTGACTTAACCACAAAAACACAACAGGGGTGGCGTTTACTGTGAGGAGGGCACAAAGCAAAGCCCAAGCCTCGCAGTGAGGCAAGAAAGGGGCTCCGGCAAGGGCCGCACCCCATCTCTGCTCTCAAGCTCTGCTTGGTCTTACAAGTTACAAGGGACTACTCTCTCTACAAGACTCCACAGATTGGATTACCTCGATTGTGCGGCACTTCGGAAATTCAGATCCGCCTCCATGTGTAGTAAGGACTGCCGCCTTTTGAACTAACCCTAAAGCCTCTTATGTGGTGATGTCAATGCAGTCCAGAGGATTTTCAGCTTCTGTGCAACTTTCACCCCATCCTGCACTAATTGAAATGTCACTTAATTCAACGGATCCGACAATAGGCAACGGAAGCCCTTTAAAAGGCTGGATGCCCCGTTTAGACTTCTCATGCGGGGCCTCCGATAGCCCTCGCCAACCACCGAGCGGCGGCGCCACGCGCAACAACGGTAGTCAGCGCCCTCTATCGCGCACGTCTCTCTTCGGCAATTCCAGCAGCGGGGTCGGGAGGAACTTGATGGATCGGCTGCAGCAGCAGGACGGCGCGGATCAGATTCAGCAGCAGCGACGACTCGCCTCGCATGGCGGCCTTTCCGCAGGAAAGGCGCTCGGCTCTTCCGCGGCTGCGGAGATGCAATCGCCTTCCAGCATGCCGCTCGGAGCCAAGATCGCTACATCCGAGGTCCCCGAATCGTCGCCGATAAGTGTGCTCTTCTGTAAGTTCCTCTGGCTGCAACCTCGGCCGTGCGATGCCGTTCGTCCGCTCGGAACTACACTTTGGTTCTTGCTTGGCTCGAAATATAATTGCAAACGTTTTCCGGTGTTAATTGATTGAGCTTCCGCGTCGGGTGTGCTTGGCATGAGCGACGAAAAATGCACTGCCGTCCGCATGCCATTGGTTAAGCTGCTGTTACTTCTCCGCTTTTGCGTCTCCCCTCACCCCTGCTCCCCGCTACCCCTCTCATCAGGCCCTCAGACGCCGTCGTCAGCAGCGTCTCCCGAGTTCCGCTTCGGCGCCAACCCCTCCCCCGAGCTCTTCTCGCCCATGCGCATGCCGCCCTTCCACCAGCTGCTCCCCTCGCCTCTCTCGCAATCCTTTTCCCTCGCCGACACGCCAACCCAGCCGCCCGCCTCAACACCAACTTCCTCCGAGCCCACGCCGGCGACGTTACCTCCGTCGCAAATGCAGTCGCCGTTGCCGTCGCCATCGTCGTCGGCGTCGGCCATGGACATAAGTTCTGTGCCGTCGTTACAAATGCCGTCGGCGTCGGCGCAAGCGCATGTGGCGGGGGAGGAGAGCCTTCCGCAGTTGGCGGAAGCCGGAGCCGGGGTTGGCAGGGGCGCGGATCAAATCGTCGCGGATCGTGCCGTTCTTGACGGCGCGGCCGACGCGGGCGGTAGCGATAAGTGTTTCTTGCGGCCCGCGCTGCCGCCTCTGAACATCGACGCGTGCAGCAGAGGGGGCAAAGTGCGCCGCGGCCATCTGCCGCCCATCCCGCTGCCGCGCAACCCGAGCTATTCCAAGGAGCACCGCCTAGGTCGCAGCGGCAGCGGGCGCAGCAGCGGCGCCTTCGAGGACCTTCTGCTCGCCGCCTCCGCCGCCTCGCCCTCCGCGCACCCGTCCCCGCCCGCCTTCGGCGCGCACCCAGCGCCGTCTGGGAGCTCCGGGGGCTGGCACTGGCAGAGCCTCAGCCAAGAGGTGCGTCGCCGCGCCGCCGTGGTGGTGCGAAGGGGACTGACCTCGCACCGCGTGGCGTCACAATCTGCTGCTGTCAGGGCGCCAAATGCTAAGCTTCACACCGTTCGCGCTTCGCTTTCTTTTCGCTCGCGCGTTCCCTTCATTTCCCCGCTTCTCGATCCCTCCCCGTTCCAAAACCCCCTATCCCTGTTTCATCCTTCCACCCGTCCACCCCCCCCCCTACATCCCCACACCCGTGCGCGCGTTCCCCGCTCCTCTCCCCAAACCCCGTGCCCGTGATTGGCAGATGCGGTCGGCGCAGCACGCGTGGTCGCTGGAGGGCAGCGGGGTGGCGGAGGAGGGCGGGTGGGGCGCGCAGCAGGCGGAGTGGATGGTGGGCGGGGACGACGAGGGGCTGGGGTCCGCGGAGTCGCTGCAGCTGATGCGCCAATGGGAGGCGGAAGTCGAGGGGCTTCCGCTCACGGTGGGCGGAACAGTGATGATGGGCATGGGGGGGGGCCATGGGGGGGGCTATGGGCGGGGGAATGGAGGGCGAGGAGGAGGAGGAGCCAGGGTCGCCCAGCACGCCCAGCATGGCTCCGCGCTCCACGGACCTCGAGTGCCCGGACGCCCCCAACTCCAGGTATGCCCCTCGCCGCGCTGCGCCCGCCTTTTCCTAGTCGCGCAATTCCACCCTCGTGTCCGCGCTGCCCTTAAATGATAGATACGTCTCCGCGTGTCCCGCGCGTTTCTGCCTGGCGCGGCAGTCGGAACGTTTGGAGTTGATGGTGCTAATGTGACGTGTGTGGGGTGGGGGGTTGTTGCGCTGCGTGCGTGTATATGTGTGTGTCTGTGCGAAACGCGGTGCGCAGGGTGCGAGGCGAGATGTGTCGCACGAGCAGTCTGCACGACACGAAGCTGCTGATGACGACGCAGCTGAAGCGGTCGCACTCCATATTCCTCTTCGACCGCCACTTCGAATTCGTGCGCGAGATAGGCCGCGGCTCCTACAGCATGGTCCGTCAGTCCCGCTCGCCTCCACGCCCACCCCCCACCCTCTTCCCTGCCCAACCCATTTCACAGTGATCGCCCCCCGTCTTGCGCCCTCTCGCCTTCCGCCCCGCCCCATCCAACTGCTTCTTGCCTCACTCTTCCTGTTTCTGCTCTCGCTCCTGGTCCGTTCCCAAACTTTCACCATCCCCTGTACCCTCTCCTCTTACCTTTCTCATACCCCCAACCCCCCCACACCCTTCCCCCCCCCCCCTTCACTCCCTCCTTTTCCCCCTCCCTTTCCTCCCCCGATTCTTTCCCTCTCCCCGCGCGCGCAGGTGTACGAGGCGCGCGACCGCAAGGGCGGCGCGCGGTGCGCGGTGAAGGTGAGCAAGCGGCAGTTCCGCAGCAAGGGCGAGCGCGAGCGGTACATGCACGAGATCGAGAGCGTGGCGAACGTGCCCGAGCACGCGCACATCGTGCGGTACTACCGCGGGTGGCAGCAGGACAGCCACTTCTACCTGCAGATGGAGCTCTGTGAGGGCGGCAGCCTGCGCGCCCTCCTCGACTCGCTCCCGCACCCGCTGCCCGAGGACCAGGTGCGAGAGCATGCACGCGCACGCGTGGGGCAGGGTGCAGCGCGGGGGAAAGGGCGGGGTGGGTGGGGGGAGGGGGTGTGTTTGGAATACGAGCGCCTAAGGGTTTTTTTTATGGCCTTAGACATAAACTCGAGAAGCGGGAGGAGTGACTTGCGAACTCACAGGCTGTGGTCATGGAGCTTGAGGCATGGGGCATGGGGCATGGGGCATGGCGCATGGCGCATGGGCATGGCGCATGGGGCATGGGGCATGGCGCATGGGGCATGGGGCATGGCGCATGGCGCATGGGGCATGGGGCATGGGCCCTGACGTGGGCATGGGGCACGTGGGTGGGCGCCTGATGAGGGATAAGGGAGGTGCAATTCTGCAGTGTGACAAGGGGAGTCCTCCCTCACTTCCCTGTTCTTGGTCATACCCTCTTCATTACCACCACATGTTCCGGGTCTTGTTGCCTAACGGCTGTAGCTTGCATTGCAGTGCCTCACTGGTGTGACTGTACATGTGACTATGTGTGTGTGCAGGTGTGGAGGTTCGTGCGGCAGGTGGCATCAGGGTTGGATCACATTCACAGCAGGGGCGTGCTGCACCTGGACATCAAGCCAGACAACATCTTCATCGACGCCCATGGTACGGTGGCCGCCCCCCTCCCCTCCCCTGCCATGCCTCGCCCCTCGCTTCCCCTCCCACCTCTTGCCTTCCCCCTTCGCTTGTTGATTCCTCTCATCGACCAATCCGTGTCCGCTTCTCCTTCTCTGTATTGTCACTGATTGCATGCGTGTGCGTGTTCTGTGCGCCTGTGAACCAACCCCTCCTTGTGCGTGCTGGACTTTGCCTGCAGGTAATCTCAAGATCGGGGGGGACTTTGGGCGGGCGGTGTGGGAGCAGCGGTGGGACTGGGAGGAGGGCGACGGGGGGTACCTAGCCCCGGAGCTGCTACAGGACGAGCCGCCCACCACAGTCAAACCGACATGTAGCAGCTTCGGCGCCATGCTCTTTGAGCTCGTCTTCGCCACCCGCCTCCCGCGCTCCCGGCCTACCACCCTCCGCCTGCCCCTCCCCCTGTGGCGCGCCCTCCCCTTTCAGTGCGCACGGCGCCCCCTCCCCGTATGGAATGCCGTCCCCCTACAGCCCCTCTCCGTACTGCGTGGCCTTCTCCTCTGCTGCGCCCTCGCCTGTGGCCTCCGCGCCTGGTCGCGCCAACCCCAGCTTCCCCCCGCCTCGCTCCACATCCAGGGGGGCAGGCAGCCCTGCAAAGGGGGGAGGGAGTCCGCTGAAGGGGTTGGGGGCGCGGGGGGGGCATGGGGGGCAGTCCTGTGAAGCCCATGGGGGGGAGTGGTAGCAGCCCAGTGAAGGGGGGAGGGGATGGGGTTGGTAGTCCAGCAGAGAGAGGCAACAGGAGGCAGCCCGTGCAAGAGCATGGGTCGTAGAGGGGAGTGTGGGATTGGCAGGCGCTGTGGCAGGTGCGGCAGGGGAGGGTCGGGGAAGGATTGGAGTGCAGCAGCAGCGGCTGCGGCAGCAGCTGTGGCAGCGGCGGATGCAGCGGTGGGTGCTGGATGTGGGCGGTCGGAGCACCTGAGGGAGCTGGTGTTTGCACTGCTGCATGGGGACGCTCAAGAGAGGCTGCAGGCACATGAGGTGGTTACAATAGCAGAGCGCAGTGCTGCGAGGGGAGGTGGACCTGGGGCAGGGGTGCATGCACAAGGCTCGAGAAGGGGCAGAGCAGTGTGGGGAGGAGCAGCAGCATGTGGAGCAGATGCAGGGGGGGGAGTGAACCTGAAGGGCAGTGCGAGGAGGCTAATTGTGAGGATAGTGGGGCTGCTATGGCGTTGGATTGAGTAGGGGGATGGGGCCAGTGTGTTGTCATTGTATGGTGATGGGGCCTAGGCCTGTCTTGTGCTAAAGAGCCACACGTGTTGGTCAAGGCCGGAATAAAATGGCCAGTCACGGAGGTGTAGATTCTGTTTTTTTAATAGAGAATGCTAAGCGAGTTGCACGTTTGTCTGGATGTTAGTCAATCTAGCTTCGAAGAAAGCACTTCAGCAGGTATTGCTGCAATGTGAATGCACCTCTGGATGGACAGAAACCTGAGGAATTGCTTGATTGCATTGCAGGCTTTACACGTGGGTTTCCCTTGCTCAGAAATTGCGCCAGCACATGCTACGGTACATCTAACCAATCTAGTTACTTGAACATCTTCAGATTTGAACCAGCAGCAGTGCAGCAGTGTCATGTGAGCAGCACCGAAAGCACAGTTTCCGACCAGTTGCCTGTCAGTCACTCCTCAACCATGCCATCAGCTACCCCTCCCCTCCCCATGCCATGCCATAAGCCACCGAGCACAGGGGCACGTGCGGTGTGCGGGCATCAAAGCCAGGCACCAAGAATGCAACCACTGTATACCCACACAGTGCCACAGCAGTGCCCCTTCTCAACCTGTCACTGCTCAAGGGCAACAGCATTTTCGCCTGCCCTGTGGAGAGATTCTGCCATGAGGGGGTGGGGCCCTCTGAAACAGGATAGGGTGCCATGCTGTCTTGAGTGGCGTGGGTCGGCATGGAGTGGCATGGGGTTACATGGCTGTGGAGTGTAGTGAAGGTGCGAGGAGTAGATGCGCCGCGTCACATAAACAGGAGCAACACCATATGTACTCAACACGTGCAACAGGTGAAATGTCGGAGGTTGAAGCAACGAGGCAACATAAGCAAGAAAAGAGATTTCCAAGTTAAGAACTTAAAACGCCTCGCGACCTAGGAGAAAATTCTCACAGTAGACCAAGCACCCATTAGGTTGTTACTGGAGCTGTAGACACTTGAGCCATGGCAGTGATAGGGACTGTGAGAGTGTCATGATGGGCGGCAAGGCGGCAGGGTGCAGAGGGAAAGCTCCTACAGTGAGTAATGAGGCAAGGCAGGCAGGAGGATGGCGGTGCAGGCATTGAGCAGGTCAACTACCTGGTGCATGGGGTGGTGGTCAGGCATGCTGCAGTGGGATGCGGTGCAGCGTGGTGGGGTGCAGTGAGGCGGGGTGCAGTATGGAGGGATTGGATGTTCGTCTTGTACATGGAGGAGAAACGACGCAGGATTGAGCGCAGTGAAGGGGAGTGCAGATGAGAGGCAGCACGCAGCAGCGAGTGGAGGGTGAAGGGAAGGGGGTGAGTGCGAGTAGGTGCCATCAAGTTGGGTGGGTGGGATGGAGTGGAGCCACTGATGACTGTGCAGGTAGGCTGATACAGGAGTACTGCAAAGGGAGAGAGAACGGGGACCATGGAACGAGGCAATCGAAAGCACGGGTATGCCATCGGCACTTTCCCACTCACCCCCCTTTCCCCACCCCCCTCCTTTCCCCGCTCCCTGTCCACGAACCACCCACCTTGCAGTGTGCGGCGATGGAGAAGCACAATGACAGTGCGCACTGCGTGGGCCTGCCCTGCACCGACCTCGGTTTCCGCCCTGGCTGGTCGATCGGTTGCTGTCACGCGGAGAAAGGAGAGAGTGGGGAAGGGAAAGGAGGAAGGATGGAAGAAGAGAGATGGGGACAGGAAGGAGGAAGCAGAAAGAAGAGCACACAATTCTTTCATGGTGGACCACCCACCAGGGTCATGTATGCTGCACAGCTCACCTGCAGGTGCAGCGTGTCGACTTGGTTGGTGGCGACGGTATCGGGTGTGGCTGCCAGCCACATGCTCAGCCACAGAATCTCACCAGTGAGCACACAGTATGTGCCCTCACCCCTCACCTGCAGCGTGTGCTCGCATGGTTGGTGTGCAATAGTATCAGGCGTGGCAGCCACATACTCAGCCACGTGTATCCATGCCACTGTGCCAAACCCACGCACAAAATAGATGTTGCTGGGGGTGATCGCGGAAGGGAGAGAAGGACAGGGGCGTGGAAAAGAATCGTCTTAGAATAGAGTCACTGTGCCAGAATGTTTGCTTCAAACACACAAGAATGCATCACAACAATGACCACTCAGTCACCAGATAGAATCTATGCGTGTGGTTACCCTATCCATGCAGTTACCAGATGGTATTCATGCGATAGAAATGGAAGTTTCCCCACTGCTGCCGCTTCACATAGAAGCCCCCGCTGGCAACTGGTAAGATGTGGAGGGGGAAAGAAGGGGGGAAATGGAGGGAGGTGAAGAGCAGTAGTGGATGCATAGTGCAAGGAGCACTCATGTGCCGCGTGCTGGTGCGTCTTCACATAAACGGCCCGCGCCCACTTCCTGCGCGTGGGGGTACAGCGTGCACGAATTCCCGAATATGGTGGCGCGCGCATTGGCAAGGCCACTCCAACCCCGGAATCTGCACCACCACGGTGCAGCGCGGTCCGATTGGAGGTTGCGCGAGCGCATGCCGAGAGGGGACAGCAGGAAGACAGGGTCTGGGGGGAACGGAGGGGTTGGGGGGTGGGCAAGGTGAGGTGGGGGGTGATGAGGGGAATGGAAAGCGTTGTAAAGCTTCCACGTAGTAGGTAAGCGCAAGCGGAATGTTACTAGTGTCAACTGTGCCTCAACGAGAAAAGGACCATAGAAGCGAGGCCGGAACTTGGATGGTAGGTGAGACAGGTTCAAGTTGCGCCGTGTCAAGAAGCACTTGATCTCCGACTGCTACTAAGTGATCACGTCACTGGCGATCGGCATACTGCTTCTGGAAGTCCTGCATCGTGGTGAGACGTCGCTGAGTCTTCTCCCATAGCTGCTGCATGGTGGTGACAAAGTCATGTGTGGCTTGGACGTGTGCCGGAGTGGTTGGCTGCTGTGATGTGAGTGGTTCTCATCCGTAACACAGGAAGAAAGGAGTTTTTCCCCTGTGGCCGCATGCTGTAAGCGAACTCAAGGGTCGGTAACTGTGTGTCCCAGTGGTTGACATCGTCTTTGCAAGCTGTGCACAGTAACTGTTCAACCACCTGATTGAGTCGCTCTGTCTGTCCGTGAGTCTGGGGGTATTATGCTGAAGACATTGCAAGCTTTGTCCCCAACAGTCCCATGAGCTCCTTCTAGAACTTACTGGTGAATTTTGGGTCTCTGTTTGAGATGAGTGTAGCAGGGATGCCGTGGATGGTGATGATGCGATCGAAGAAGAGGCGAGCAGTTTCTTCAGTAGTAGCCGTGGTGTTGGTCGGGATGAAGTGACCCATTTTGGAGAACTTATCAATCACCACGAGGATGGCGTCATGCCCTCGTGAGGTCGAAGGAAGTCACGTGATGAAGTTGAGGCTAACGACTTGCCATGGCTGCTCCGGTACGGGTAGAGGCTGAAGTAACCATGCTTTTTTTCTGCTTGCTACTCTTCATCCGCTGGCACGTGTCGCATGAGGTGACGAAACTGCTGCACGTCTGCTGCCATCCCAGGCCAGTAATAATACTTCGCTATCCTTGCTAACGTCTTGTTGCTCCCGAAATGTCCCGCGTATGGTACGTCGTGAAACTCATCCAGTAGGATCTGTCGGAGCAGGGCATAGTTCGGTACGCAAATCTTTCATGTGCCCTTCCTTACAGCTAAGTCTTTCTCCCACTGTAACAGCTTCTTAGTCTGTGCTGTAGCGATCTCCGCGTCCACGGAGTACTCATGTTGGAATAGACCCTTGAGCAGAGGGTTCATCCCGTCGAGCTGGATGCCTGCTACATGACCGGGACCGGCTCAACGCGTCTGCCTTGTTGTGTAACCCGGGCCTGTAGATGATGTCGTAATGGAAGTTGAGTTTCCAGGAAGTCCACCCACCGCTCCTGTCGTCGTGAGAGCATCGGCTGCGACTTCAGGTATTTGAGACTGCAGTGGTCAGCATAGACAGTAGTCTTGGCTCCCTCTAGGTAACACCCTCCACGCCTTGAAGGCTATGACTATCGCTAAGGCTTTCTTATCATGGATGGGGTAATTCAGTTCTGCTCCGTGTAGCTTCTTACTGAGGTAGGCGATGGGCTGCAAACTGCGTCCGTGATCCTGCATCAGTACTGCTCCGACTGCCTGGTCACTAGCGTCTGCTTCCACTACCTAGTCCTTGTCTAGGTCCGGTAGGATGAGTACTGGCGCTGTGGTCAATACTGTCTATAGCTGCTCCATGGCTTGCTGATGAGGAGTATCCCATTTGTAGGGTGTATCCTTTTTCAGTAGATCGGTTAGTGGCGGTGCTATCTTAACGTACTTCGGCACAAACCTGTTGTAGTAGTTGGCGAAGCCTAGGAACTACTACAACTCCTTCACGTTCTCCGGTACTTTTCCACTTCTTGACGGCTTCGATCTTCCGCGGGGTCCACGTGTACGCCCTGAGCACTCACCATGTGCCCGAGAAATTGCATGTTCATCAGGGCAAAGTCACTCTTCGACAGCCTTTCGTAGAATTTGTTCTTCCGCAGGATCTCGAACACCTTCCGTAGATGCTCCACGTGCTCCTTCATGTTCTTGGAGTAGATGAGAATGTCGTCCAGGTACACCACCACGCATTCGTCCAATAGGGGCCGTAAGATGTGATTCATCTCCGCTGGAAACGTTGCTGGTGCGTTGCAAAGTCTGAACGGCATCACCAAGTATTCGTAGCAGCCGTATCTGGTACGGAACGCCGTCTTGTGGACCGAGTTGTCTGCCATCTTGATCTGCCAGTAACCCGACCGTAGGTCCAGCTTCGAAAAGACTGTTGCACCACGCAGTTGGTCTAGAAGATCGTCGATGCGCGGTATGGGGTATTTGTTTTTTACTGTCTGTTTGTTCAGTGCGCGGTAGTCGATGCACATCCGTAAACTGCCGTCTAGTTTTGGAGTGAAGAGAACTGGTGCACCGTAAGGAGAGGTTGGATGGGCGGATCATTTGTCTGTCCAGTAGATACTCGATCTGTTTCTTCATG